GAGTCAGTCGGGAAGGGCCGGAGAGCGAGCGACCAGTTGGGGAAGCCTAAAAAGTGCGCCGCAGCGAAACGCGGTGAGAAAATGTTTTGCATTATTTACATTTTTACTGCAGTTAGTTATGTTCTGTTCTGCTCTCTCTCTCCTCTGCACTGAAAGAAATGGTCTACATCCTCTTTAAATCATACATTTTATTATTAAAATGTTTTGTGATGGTTTTATAATACATTTATATCGCTTCCTCTACTAGTGCAGAGTGTAAGCTTTTCTTTCGTTCTTGTTTTCTGCACAATTTAATATATTTTTTTTCAGTGCTTTTCACTGATCTCTTCTGCTGCACAGCTACTCGTACGTTTTGTTGTGTCTCGCTTTGGTCATTATTCCCCTGCAGGACATCCGTCATCCGTTGCGCTTTGCTTTGCTTGGTTTTGTTTTATCGCTTGGCTTCCTGCTGTTCTGGCTCTTCCACTCCTTCCTCTGCTGCTGATGTTGCTCTCATTAACAAATTGTCAGGTGTGTGCGCTGGCGTCGACGTCGACGTCGCAGCAGCCTCTGCCGCTGCAGTTATTCGTCATGCTTTGGTTAATCAGCACAGAACCGAACCGAGCCGAACCGAACCGTCGCGGGGCGGAGAGGTGAAGGGCTTTACTATACGATTACGACGTCGTCAAAAAACAGAACAGAAACTGCCGTCCCAGAACATGCTTGCAATTCAACTGTAAAAGCATTTAAACGGAAAGTTTGTCGGCTTCCCTAAATTGTTCTTCACATGAGGCTCTCCTTCCCCCTGCCCATCTCCTTTTCCGCTCTTTCCCCCCCTCTATTTCTTTTCCCGTTCTTTTTCCCCAGCTCTGTTCTTCTTGTTGTCTGTGTTTACCTGTTGCCTCGTAAACAAATGCCGGGCTTAATCAATTCGTAAAACCGTTCAAACTTCAAGTGATTACAAACAAAGGCGAGACGACGCATTGCAAGAAAAGAAAGTCCCAGGGAGTCGGGTTCTCTGCATCATCCACAAAACTCGGTATTCAATATACCCCATCCCATCCCATCCCCACTCTGGACGGACATCTGTGCTGGGCTGCCGATGCTTCATGTTTATTTTCTCACACAGGCGGCAAAACAAATAAATTCCATTTGTTTTCCCCTTTTTCAGAATTGATTTTGAAAACCTAATCAAATTGACCAGCCTCTGTACTTATACCCTAGCTCCTGGCTGGGTCTTGCGTTGAGGTATATCCGTGGTAAATCCTCCAACTCGAAAGAACTCGAACGAAGAAAGTTTTTCCGAACCAACGACTTCATTCATAGGAAGATGGTTCATTTGTCCCAAGTCCCTAAGCTAGAATCTCTTATTGGGGATTTATTTTCCTTCTAGGGTATCCCCAGTGCGGCTTCTGTTAGCACTCCCGGCCTCTCTGGACCAGGCAAAGAGTCCCCCAGTCTCTGTTTCGTAATTAAATATCCAAATTAAGAGTAAGCAAATGCGGCAGTCGCCTCGCTATGTAGGGGTTGCATCTGATCTGATCTGATCTGTTGCATCTGGAAATAGCAACGCATCCAAGTGAGGCAGGCATTTTATGCAACACACGCCAAAATCCCAAGTGGAAAGGGGGTACTGTTTCATCATTTGCATGGGCTGTCTTTGTGTGGCGGCTCCCTGTCCCTTGTTGTTGTTGCTGCTGCTTCTACAAACGCATGGGGCATGTCTCCCGCAACTGTAATGACTCCACAGTCGGCGGCGGCTCCATCTGGCCCCATCCAGCTTTTCTCCAAAGAGTGTGGGGAGAGGGGGGTGCCATAGACAATGAAAAACATTTTCCTGTCCCTGACGCTGTTGTTGGTTGCACTCAACCCCGGCCCCTGATCTGGCTTAGCCCCTGCCCCTGCCCCTATCTTTTCCCCGCACTCCAGGCCCAGCTCTTTCTTTATTCCTGTCCCTTTTCCCTTTTTCCCTTCCCCCCCCCCCCCCCCCCCCCCCCTTCTCTCTGACATGATCAACATAAAAATCCATATGATGTCGATGACTTTTTTGTTGTGTTTTTTTTTTGTTTTGTGTTCTATGCGCTTGTCGATGAATCTCCCGCTCTCTCTCTGCACGCACACACACACACGCTTGCACTCTGCTCATTCACATATTTAAATGTGCATATCGAATAGCTCTTTCTCTTTCTCGTAATATGTACATGGAATTCTCTCTAATCTCCTAGTGTCGTTGAACCTTTCCTTTCCTTTCCTTTACGTTTTTATTGTGCCGTACTCAACTTTATTGTTATTATTATTTTGCGCGAGTGTGTTATTTTCCCCATTGTGTTTGCCTTTGCAGATTCGCTTACTCTCGCTCTGTTGCTCTGTCACTCTTTAAAAGCTAGGCTACTCTCTCTGCTCTGCCTGCACTGAAAAAAATTGATATTTGATCAAAGAGCGCTAGATTTGGACGCCAGGCCGAATCGATTCAGCGTTTACATATTACTCAAAAAGCCGCTACATTAGTCATTCATCATGAAATGGAATACATATTCCCAGAGCTTTTGGAGAGCTTTTTTTCTGTGTGAATTTCTCTCTTTTTGCTCTGTTTTGCTCTCTTATTTTATGTCATAGTAGAATAACAAGAACAACAACAACTGATGACAGCGATAACAGCAGCACATGCACACGTGAATTCTGCTGCTCCTCAGCCGCTGCCGCTGCTGCCGCTGGGCAATTATTTCCAATTTAGCAATACAACATAGCAGCGGCAGAATCGCTGGCAGAGGTTGAAGCAGAGGCAGAGTGCAGCCAGGCTGCGTCCGAGATCCAGGGCTTGGCTCTGCCCTGCTCTGCTCTGCTCCTATTGTCTTTCGCTGACTGACGACACAGTTCATTGGCCCATCCAATCCAAGATGCAACCAGCAGAGGAGGAGCTGCAACAGATGCACTAGCATCATGATCATCATCCCGGCTGGGTCTCTAGGGCTCTGGGGCTGGAGCTGGAGCTGGAGCTGGGGTCAGGCCTGTCCCATGCAATTACTCCATGTACTTGGACTGTAATAACACGGAGTCGAACTGTACGTAAACTGGTTGCAGGATGCTGTGGATGCTGCTGCTCGAGAGTGGAGTGGAGTGGAGACTTTCTAGCCAGCGTTATCTGTCTATATCTATCTAGGAAAACCAGTTATAGGGGGCCCAGGCTTGTTGCACGCCCATTTTAGCTGCCACAGCGCTGTCGTTGGCAGTCGCCAGTCGCCAGTCGCCAGCTGCCTATACCGTACCCCTGCCCCGTTGTCAGAGGCAATGATCAAGCCAGGAGCAGCAGGCCCGAGCTTGACTAGACCTGTTGCTGCTTGTCGCTTGTTGCCTCTTGCTGTTGCTCTGTCTTTAGTCCCCAGAGTCCAACTCCAACTCCAACTCCAACTCTGGCTGGATTTGCTGTTGTGGCAGCCACATACTCATGCACACAAAAAGGCTATTGACTCTGTTGTTTTTCTATTGCCCGTCTGCTGGGCTTCGGTTTGGGGCCACTCCAGGCACTTCCTTCTCATGACTCTCGCTCTGGCTCTGGCTCTGGCTCCAGCTGGATATGGTGGCTGGATCGGCTGGCAGCACCAAGTTGCAAGTTCGTTGAACCAAGTGGAGCTATTCTAATGCCAGGGAAACGTGTTTGGCAACTTGCAATCGGAGTCAGGAATGGGTGTGTGGGAACGGGCACGAGGACTGAAACTACATCAACTCCTCCTACTCCACTCCACCCCACTCCACTCCCCTATCAGTATCAGGAAGAGGCAAAACAATCATCGCCTTACTAATTGTTCACGAGTGGATTGAAATTCAAACGAATTTCGCATTGAAACGTAAGCGAAAATCAAATGAAACGCACATTGGAGCTAATATGAGAAGAAATGAAACGATTTCCATGGAGAACATAAACTATAAAAGAGGGGACAGTAACGATTCCAGTTGGTTGGGTCTGTTCAAGGCATCCGTGTCCCTCAAGACTGATCCAATGACCAAAAGAGCTGGAAATTGTCAGACAAGTTTCCTTTTATAGGGATCGCTAAGATAAGGTCTTGATGTTGTTTAATCATTCTGAAAAATGGTAGTAGTAGGCCCAAAACTGTGGTCCATCGGTTACAAAGTACTTTGGACTATCATACTTATGTTAAATCGTCTTTGATCTTGAAAAGTTTTACAAATTTCTAATGGAATTTCCTCTTTGATTGGTTAAATACTTTTGTTGAGGCTAATCATTTGTTTTTGAAGTTTCTAAAGGTTCCGTTTCGGATAATATGGGGATTGAAACTCCCTCCGTAAAGGGTGAATGAACTTTTCCAAAAGTCCATACAAAATAGGGGGCGTGGAAACTAACACTCATCCATATATCTATGTAAATTCATTACTTAGGGAATTCCATGTTTCGAAATGAAATATGATCTTAATATTTTTAGAACTATACCTATTTAAAGATCTCCAAAGTATCGGAGAGAACGAATTACAAAATTGCTGAAAAGCTTCCGTTCAAACCGTATAAAAATACATTCACCTCTTTACAAATATTCGATTTAAATTTTCGATGATTTCTCTGTTCGCCGCGGCCCAAAACAACTTCATAAATATCAATTTACGCCCAGTTTTTTCCTCGTTGGATTTCTTGAGCACCATCTGTTCCAATGTGCCCATAGGCACAGGGCCCTGTCAAAGACCAAGTGGATCTGGATCTCTGGATCTGCTGGGGCTGGCCTGTCCATCATCATCGTTGCCCGATTATTGCTGTTGTTGTTGTTGCTGTTGCACAGGGCCCTGTTCTTTGTCCCTGGGACGTGGGTTTCCCGGGGCCAATCAGTCAGCGAGGCACTCAGCGAAGCGTGAATGGCAATTGCCGATATCTACACATTCAATTAATAAAATCAACAGCAAACACATCGCCAGAGGACCGAAGCGAAGCGGAGCTCTTATCGCCCCGGCCAGGACATGTCATTAGCCAAGCTCCAGTGCCATTCAATCCAGTTGGGTTCAGTCAGTGCCTGGATATGGACAAGTACAGTCAGCAGAAACGCGGCGGCGGAGGAGTGCTGGCGGAGGCCTGGTCGCGGGGCCTGCTTCTGACGCTGTATCGGGCGGCTCGAGTCCTGTCTCTGATCTCCTTTCGCCTGGACCGGGAAGAGTTGCAGCTGAAGCTCCCAAAGAGTGGCAGCCGAAACAGGATACTGGAAACTGTCTGGCGCTGCCTGGTCGTTCTGACCTATGCGGGTGTCTGGCCACAACTCTCCGCGCATCTGATCACCGATCGGCCGGAGAGCTATGCGGATATGTTTGCCTTGATGCAGTCCTTTTCGGTGTCCATTTTAGCACTGGTTTCCTTCATCATCCAGGCCAAGGGCGAGGACAAGTTCCGGACGGTGCTCAATCGCTACTTGGCCCTGTATCGGCGCATCTGTGCGGTGACCCGCGTGGATCAGCTCTTTCCCATGAAGTTCATAGTGTATTTCCTGCTCAAGCTGCTGCTCACAATTGGGGGCTGTGTCCACGAGTTTCCGCCGCTCTTGAAGAACGAGCACTTTGAGGACGCTCGCAACATGGTGGCCGTGATCGTGGGGATCTACATGTGGCTGGGCACCCTGTTTGTGCTGGATGCCTGCTTCATGGGCTTCTTGGTCTCTGGGATACTGTACGAGCATATGGCCTTCAACATCCTGCTGATGCTGCAGCGTATGCAGCCCATAGAGTGCGAGGAGAAGGCAGTCCGAATGAGTAAATACCAGCGGATGCGACTCCTCTGCGACTATGCCGACGAGCTGGACGAGTGTGCCTCCATCTACAGCGAGCTGTACGGGGTGACGATCGCCTTTCGCCGCATGTTGCAGTGGCAGATCCTCTTCTACGTGTACTACAACTTCATCAGCATCTGCCTGATACTCTATCTGTGCATTCTGCACTATCTGAACGCGAACGAGATTGCTCTGGTCTCCCTGGCAATGGCCACCATTAAGCTCTTCAATCTCATCCTGCTGATCATGTGCGCGGACTATGCGGTCAGGGAGTCCCAGAAGCCGAATAGATTACCCCTCGACATAGTCTGCACCGATATGGATCAGCGTTGGGACAAGAGTGTGAGTGCGGTTTGGGAATTTTTCTCATTTCTGAAGCCATCTTTCATGAACTTCCTTTAGGTGGAAACATTTCTCAGCCAGCAGCAAACCCAGCGCCTGGAGATCAAAGTCTTGGGTTTCTTTCAGCTGAACAACGAGTTTATACTGCTAATTCTATCCGCTATTATATCGTATCTCTTTATATTGATACAGTTTGGCATTACGGGCGGCTTCGAGGCATCCGAAGAGGTCCGCAAGCAGTTCAATTCCAGCAGCCATCAAATTCAAGAACTTTTAAATTAAATTTCACTACTTGTAAAACTCTTTCTCTCCCCTACAGTAGTTAGCCGGGCTCATCCTCCATTACCTTGGGTTCACCTTCAGCTACCGGGTTCATTATCGTTCATTATATCTCTCATACCACAAAAGTTCTGATACAATTTGGGGATGAGCTCGTTAAGCAAAAGAAAGACCAAAACCAAATAAAAAAGAAATGAGAATTGAAATTTCGACTCTGACACGGTGTAATTATCATACATATCTCTCTCTCTCTTAACCTCCCCCACTTTCTGGTTGCCTATCCACATGATCAACATCGTCATCGTCATCGCTCAGGGTCGGAATCGAGTCAGAGACAGAGACAGAGACAGAGTCTTTGTCTTTGATTATTTTTTGGCGCCAGCGGAGCGTAACGCGCATGTCACGCCTATTATATACTATGTTTCCGTATATATACTATATGGGAGAGAGGTTATAGTAGGTGCGGCGGCATCTGAACCCAAAGCCGTAGCCGGGACCCTGGATCCGATCCGATCGGACGACCTGTGGCTGAAAAAAATACGCGACTTGGCCTGCAACTGAATTAATTTTTTTTTTCTACTCTCTGCTCGGCTGCACACGGAGCGGCGGCTGGGAGAGAGTAGGATGGGTCGCATCGGAGGGGTATCTCCCAATCCCAATCCCTGACACTGACGAGAGAACATTCAAATTTTTGCGCTGTTGCTGTTGCGCTCATTTGGACCTGGCCAAAACCTGGTCTGGTCTGGCCTGGCCAAGCCATGCATATTTCCGGCCGCCAGAGGTAGATCAGATCCCAGACTCAGACTCAGACCCAGACCCAGCCCATTCCCATTCCCGTTTCGCTGATTTCCTGCCATTTGGCGCATTTCAAGTATTTTGCAATGTAATTAGTTAGGAAGCTCCCCTTCCAAGTGGGAGTTGGTGGGGGGGGGGACTGGCTGCTGCATAGCCGGGATGCCGCAAGTTGAAAGATGCCGCCCCCTTTGTGGTGGTGGGAGCTACTTAACATTACTCTGTACACATTTAACTAGCGACGTAGTCACACATTACAAGAATGTGAGTTAGATTCAAGGGCCGAAGTTTATAATACCCTACAAAACAAAAATCCACCCCGATACCATATAAATGTATGGGCGCTAAACATATTATCTTAAGACGGGCGCTGCCTTCCTTGAAAGTTATATTATATATCCCTTGAAACCTAACCTAACCTAACCTAACACTTTTTACAGGAAATCAAAGTCTTTAAGCGAATCTGGAATATTTTCTCTATATCTCGCTATCGTGACACCCTCTCGAAGGGTATACCCAATCCCAGCTGACTCCGATTGTATTCCAGGCAGGGCTTAGGGCCCCAGTGGCTTATCAACCAATGCTTTGACCTTTGCAATCCACAGAAGCCCCGCGCAACCGACGCCAAACAGCACCCGAACGAGCTACGTCATGTTCCACATATTACTTTCACTTACGAATCGGCAGAAACAAAATAGAAACCACAATCACAATCAACAAAAACGTGCAAGTGAGTGAATGAGTGAGTGGGCTGGCGTGTGGTGGGGTGGGGGGGCAAGGTAGTAAGGTGGCTCTACTGTGGAATATATGGGGGATCGTGCACGCGCTCATAAACGTGATACACAACAAACAACTTCATTTGTCATACTCGGTACGAGAGCAGAATGGAATAGGGGGGGGGGAGCACTCAATAAACAAGCGTGCCCAAATGCTGTTTGAACTTAATTTGTAGAGCTAACCGAGAGGCACACAGTCCACACGGAGACCAGACCACATCCCCAGCTACCGAGAATGAGAACGTGAAATTCCATGATTGTGTTGTTGTCGTTGGACTACATTTGTATGATCAGAATGCATAGGAAAATAAGTGGGCGACAGACTCCGACAACCACAACAATGCTCAGATAAAAGAAAAACATCTGTACATTGTGTTGGAGGAGGTGTGACCCCGACCCCGTACAGGCCCCGGCCCCAGCCCATACCAAATACCCGTTTTGGCCTAAAAACCTAAAGCCCCAAAACAAGGCGGCACAAAACCAATTAAAAGCTAACGAATTTGGCAATACCCTGCACCACATTTTGGATTTTAATGATAATAATGAAGCTTAGATTGTTATTCCGCAACTGATATAAAATATAATTCAGTTGCTGAATGAAAAGAATACAGATTAGATTAGATTAAGTATACATAGATAATACTCAATATTGAGTAGAGAATTATATCCCTCAGACGTTTACGGGTGACTGGCGAAACACTCCCGCGACTGTACTACTGCTTAGGACTGCATTTTCGTCCTTGGCACGAATAGCTTATAATAAAACTTAAGTCGTACATCTCCATTATAGCTTTGCCCGCACCTTGAACATTAGTTTGTGCAAGAAATGAGGTCAAGAACCCCCGGGGAAACATTAGTATCCTCTATATCTTATCTGCCGCATGCACATTATATGTACATATATATTGCATTGCGACACAGTTCCGATAAAGTGACGCATGACCGAGCAGCGGGACACCCTACTCACATTCGATCGTATGGCGTATCCAAAAAAAAATATGCTATGGAAGGGAACGACGGCCACTGGCCAAAAGGCCCGAACCGAGCCGAACCGAACCGACAATCCAACACGCACACATCGTCCCCCGACCCCGCTGAGATGTTCTGTTATTTGTTATTTGTGTGTTCGATGAACCGAATGTTTGACCCACTTTCCCACGAATTAACGCACTTTATGGCGAAATGGAATCCACACAAGAGCGTTAGAAAGAGAATAACAGCGAAGTAGAACGCGAGAGAGCAACAGAGCAGCAAAACCAAGTCGCCATAAATGAGGTCGACGTCGAGACTACACTCGATCATAAAAAGAATATTGATTTGCAGTTGTTGTTGTTGCTGCTGCTGTATGTTTTTTTTATTTGTGCTTGTAATTTACGCAACGCTCGCTCGTTTGTCGTTGTCTCTCTCGGCTACTAGTCTTTGCATTCGACTCGACAACAACAGCAGCCAAAGCAGCACGAGATCAACAACATTTGCAGCAGCAGAGTAGAGGTCGAAGCAGAGCGCTAGCTTTTCGCAGTTGTTGAACTTTTTGCAAGCAGGAGCACAGGCAGAGGCAGAGGCAGAGCCGGCGGCAGCGGCAGTGGGGCTCCAAAATCTGAAATCAAAAAACCTGTTCCGGGGCCGAGATGGGCTTGCCACACGTCTCTCTTGGGCAAATCAAAAGCTGTAGCCAAAGCCAACAAAAACTTGACGTAAACGTCCCGCTCCCTCACTCCACTTCATATCGTTCGCTCGCTTCTGCCTTCTGCCGCCCGTTCTCTTTGCCTGTCCTCTGCCCACCTCACTCTCTTGCTTCTCTGCCCAGTTTTCTGTTTTACTGCTGCCGCTGCCGCTGCCGTTGCCTCTGCTGTTGATCTTTGTGGACTGTACTTTTTTGTTGTTTGAATCGCAAAACTTGTTGGTTGAAAGGGGGTTGGGGGTGTGTTGATTGAAATCGATCGGTGGTGCAACGCAGCCAGCATTAGTCACCCCAAGCTTTGACCTTGCTGCAGTGCATCAGTAGCTGGGGCTGCAATCTGTTCAGCTGCTATTCGGATATCTATAATTTGGTTGAGCTAAAAGTGATCGCCCGGCCATGTAATTAATAGTGCAACCAACCCTGGAGCAGCATCTTAAACACCCCCTCCGAACTACCCGTCCTGCCACGCCTAGTGCTTGTCGTTTTTGAAAACGAGCGCATAAATGACGCTTTCCTGTGTACTTAAGGTGTCTAAACTTGACTACCGTGTGGAGTGGAGTGGAGTGGTGTGGTGTGGTGTGGAGAGTAGAGTGGGCTCCCAGACCTTGCCCAAGACAACAACTTCTGATGCTGCTTCTGCGTCTGCTGCTGCTGCCGCTGCTGCTGTCGATGACCATTATTTTAGCTGACGGCGATATATTTGCTCAGCCCTCTCCGTTGTCCACTCGGGGAGCAGCGGTGCGACTCGCATCTGTGCGTTTGTCCGGCCTTGAGTCCCACCAGTCCACTCAGTTCAGTTCTCTTCTGTTCTGTTCTGTTCTGTTCTTGGGTGTTTGCTACCGGTCGGGCTGGGCTTTGACTTTGGCTTTTTGTTTTTGCTGTACCCTTGCTCCACAGATGTACAGGCCAGCCGGCCGCTGAGCGGAGCATGACAAACAGTTGCAGCCAAAGCAAATAATTAGTATACATCGATTATCTTGCGCCTCGGCCCAGTCACAGAGTCACAGTCCCACAAAGGGTCTACCTGGGCCCTCGGCTACTGGGCACAGCTTTTTGCCTGCCACCACACAAAACAGGATCCATCTCCAGATGTTGGCACGTCGCACACGCGCTGAGGTTGTTCGGATCTACCCTTTGCCAAAAGGGTACTCCAGACTGTGATAAGCAGTTGGCAGTGCAATGATTAAGGCACACATATTTTCTAGATCAAGAAAAAAAGGTGGGAAAACTGGTCACCCCCCATTCTAAAGAGGTACGATTATAGTTCAGACTTCACTGTTGTCTTGATTTCTATACTATCTAAAAGGGTATTTGATGCCTCGATCAATCGAGACCTTGTTGTTGCAGCCTCCAACTGGGCGTGTGCGGCGAGCGCCTACGCGCGCCCAGCAGCCCACAAAACGAGTTCCCCCTCGCAATACGCATTTCGCAAGACTCCGACACCGATTCGCCACCTCCGAACCGCCGATCCGCCGATCCACCATGTGTGTGCGGAGTGCAGAGTGCCCATAAAATGCTGTGCTGTGCCAGAAACTGTACCCCGGCCCCAGAGCCCAGAGCATGGAGCGTGGAGTCGAGTCAACCCGACCAGATCTCGAACCGAAGGAGACGTGTGCTCAGCTCGTGCCAATTTCTTTGGGGGCTCCAACTTTTAAAGTCGCATTGCGAAACGTTTTGTCTTTCGCTGGTTTTCTGCATATAAATAAGAATATTCACACACGCCCGGGATTGAGTGCATATATCGGGCTATCGGGCATATAGTGTGTGTGTGTTTGTGTGGGGGTCTGTGCTTAGATGGCAACGCGTCTAGAAAAGGTGGGGCTGCATTTGCATTAAAGTGCCATTTTTAATTAGTTCCATGCATAAAATAAGCAGCGGGTTGCTACAGTGCCCTGGGGGAAGGCATTGCCATAGATGGGATATATTTTCACAATCGCCTTATATGGCACATATCGTAGTGGATGGATCACATGACGGGGGAAATAAAAATTTGATATGAGTATTCTTTGTTTCTTTGATAGAAGGGTAAGATTCGTTCTGGCTAGCTTTGGACTTGGAGGAACGAATAGAAACGAACCATAAGATTAGCAATAGATAAGCAACAGAACACCAATACGCAATTTTCCATGAGAGGATACGTACATACTACACAATATAACGTATAAGATTAGATACGATACCAAGGTGGCGTTAGATCATCAACATATCTGAGCCCTTGAACAAAGCCCTTGCCCAATTGAACAATAAATAAATTAGAACTAATTACTGTCAACGTTTATTTGAAGTTTTGGTGGGAGTTTTTACCATTGTCTGCCTTAAAAGGCAACAAATTTTTGTGTAAAATCATCAGCGGCTACATTTGAACAATTCTCAGTGTGTTTCCTGTCCAAAAGCTTTTAGGGCTAATGAATCAGAGATGGCTCCCTTGAATTGGTTGAAATTGTCGGGTCCCAACCATTCCGCACTGCTACCGGTTACCGCTTAAGATCTTGATTGAATCGGGGCTTTCATCATCATAATCAACATAATGATGATGGAATTTCCTTCATCCGTTCTTCGGTCTTCCCTCTCGGGCTGAGAGTGTAGCTGTACTTTAGGCCCGGCCAACAACGACAGCTACCGCTACCTGCAGTCAAGGCACTCGAAGCTCCAAGTTCAACTTGGACTGGTGGGCCCTGTTTGGTTCTTTTGTCTAGTGAAATGTTGAAAGCATCATTAATTTTTGTTGGTATTTTTTTTGTTTATTTTTTATTCTCACTTTATGCCTTAACTTTAAGTTTAACAAAGTTGCGATGTAAGTATGATAATTGCGGAATGAAAGGAAGGGAAAGATAGAGATAGCGACCAGTAAAGAGAGAGCCAGAACCAAAAAAAAAATGTGACCCATAATTACCCGGCCAGCAGAACAATCATGGGAAAAATGACTGTAACTTGGCTCAGTCTCTCACTCTACCTCTCCCTCTCAGGCCTCTCTTTCTCTCTTTTCTCTGTGACTCTGTTGTGTCTCTGATGAAGTACAATTATTTAAGCAATGCTATGTTTTATGATTATCTTGCCGTTTACACAGCACGCATAAAAAAAATACGAGAGACCAAAAAGAGAAGTGAGAATCTTAGAGTTCAGTGTCCAGACTTGGAGATACTCCTCACGAAACGCTCTGCTTATAATCTGAGGGGGAAGACAGGAATTATCTACTCATCGAAACCACAAGAGGCACAGTATAATCTAGTGTTTTGGCTATTACAAATTTTGATATTTCAATAGAGAGGATATGGATAATCTTGATAGTCATATAATAGACCTTAGAAATCACTAAAGGGTAGATATTATTTTTGAACCAAGCTGTACTTGTATACCTCCAAAAAACAAACAAACTCTTACCTCTATATATCAACATTTCATACAAAGTAAATTCTAAATAAACTTTTGTCATAACAATACTTGAAGTGTACCTATTATTTTGTTCTATTTTCTTTTATAACATTATCCTATAACATAATCAAGTGTATCTTATTGAGAATAATTGAGACCTCATTGCAGGTTTAAAATATAGAATAGAACCATTTTCTGTTATGTTAAAGTTTACGTAGATATGTATGTACGTACCATATACCTTTGAATCCTACAAAAAACAGGGTATGCAATTACAGCCCATGAAAAAGCACACACTCTCAGCAGGAGCAGAACAGATCAGGTCACTCCGGAGCCCCAGTTCCAGTCCCCTCCCGTCCTGTAGATCGCCACAGTTCTGTCAATGCCGAGATAATGTTCATCGCTTCTTGGGGCAGTTTGATTTTTTGTTGTTTTATTAACGCCGCCGGTCGCAGCTGTGGACGCACCAGCAAGTGCCGCAACAGCAAGTGCACCACCGCACCTTTATGGGTATGGGTATGGGTATGGGTATGGGTATGCCGCTGCATTGGACCCCTGCTTCGGACCCTATGCTAATTAGAGCGACGGCCTCGGCCTTGTTTTTATGCGCATTTTAGCGTGAATTGTCCCACTCTCTCTGCTCAGCTCTGTCTCTGTCTCTGCCTCTATCTCCTTCTCTCTATCTTTTCCTTGGTGCATAAATTTTCTGCTCCACGTCAGCATACATGTATAATTAATGCGGAGGCCAACATTCCATGGGAAAATGTTGCAGCGGAACAAACGGTTAAGCGGAAATCGGAAATTGGGTCCTGGCCAACCGATTTGAACTTGGTAATATGTATATGCATACCCTACAGAGGGTATCATCAATATTTCGAGGAGTTTGCATTCTCAGTTTTCTTTGCAAACCACAGAAGATATGATACGATTATAATATTAAAAGAATTTTAATATATTTTCAAATTAATAAATGCAATTATTGTTATTTAATTTAAAAGGAATTGCACCCATACTTAAATAAAATATTCAATTTGTAAATAAAACAAACAATAGTGAAATTAAATAGAATTTACTTTGATTTAAAAGTTGTTTTTTTTTAATTTTAAATTTGAATCACTTTTAAATAAATAAAATATATTTAATTTGTAAGAAATATATTCTTTTTAAAAAGGAAATATATTTATTTAAAATATATATAATTAAATCAAATATTTTAATTTTAATGTGAAATTTGATTAAATTTGTAAGAAACATATTTAATTTAACTATTAAATTATAATTTAAGAAGGAAATATATTTATTTTGTATATTAAATATATTTAAATACAATATTTTAATTTTAATATCAAAATGTATTAAATAATTGGTAAACAAATTAGATTGAAATATTAAAATATGTAATTTAAATAGGAAGTATATTTATATTAGATATTAAATATATTTTAATCAAATATTTAAATCGTATTAAATAAATGAATTAAATGACTATGGTCCCTGTTTATTTTAGTTATTAAATATTTAACTCAAATATTTTCATATTAATGTTAATGATAAAGTGAAAATAATTTCTCTTACTCCTTATCCACTATAGGGACAAATCTATCGGTATTAATTTTATTTTAAAATCTACATAAGTGTAAATATTTCAATTTCAGTGCTTAAACTTTCATCCTGCTTGTCAGAGTATTAGATATTTCGGTCCAGGTGATATTTCGCTGATATTTCTGCGTGTAACCGCAGGACAGGTGGGTAGATTGGGCCGCGTGGACAGGTGTGTGTTGCAATCAAAAGCGTGACGAGGAATCAAAATTGCTTCGTCTGAATGCCATACTGAACCAGGAAGGTCAGATATGTGACCATGGCGGAGAGAAAGAACAGGGTGAGCTCGTTGGACACCTCGAACATGCCCAAAGGACACACACGCAACTGCTGATGATTAAGGCGGCCCAGAAAGATCTCGAACTGGAAAAAGGACCAAAGTTTCAACTTTCTTGGAGAGCGAACTAACTTATCGACACCCACCTTGATGTGGTAGCTTTTGCTCTGTCCAATGGTATAGTTCTCGAGGCTCAAGCGGCGTACCAAACGCGAACCACTGACTGCCCCATGGACGGCAAGGGTGAGCAGGAGCACGTCAATGAGGAGCTTGAGGACGAGTCCCCAGAGGCTGAAGTGGTACTCCTTGCTCATGATGGCATGGTAGGAGACCATGGCCATGGCGGAGAGATTCTGAACCAGGGTGAGGAATAGGGGCAGGTCGAAGAGCTGCTGGAAAGAGCAGGTGATCTGGTGAATCTCCTCGTAAATGGCCAGGCACTCGTCCAGATTGGCGTGGGCTTGGACATCTGGCTGTTGCTGTATGTCATCCTCCTCCTCTTGGTCCTGCAGTGAGCTGAGCTGAGCACGCAGCTGATGATCCACATAGCGATTCAACTCCGCATAGAGTACCCCAATGCTGAGATAACCCACGAAGCAGAAGTGCATGATCATGCCCGTGCCAATGGAGGTGTACAGATCACAAAGAATTGTGAGCAACACCCAGGGGGAGTACTGCCACTGGAAGGCCAGGAACACAAAGGCCAGCGACAATAGCTTAAACATCAGCAGCGTCAGTTCCAATCTGCCCCCAAAGCCCGCCTCCACAGTCCGTGTCAGGGCCCTCAAGCGACGAAAGAGTCCAAAGAAACTGTTGACCAGGTGTAGTATCCTTTTCTCGTAGCAGACTTGCAGCACCAGTATGATGACACTGCAGACCAGACATCCGACCAGGCGCAGTCCGAAGAATAACCGCAGATACCAGTCCGTGTATTGGTCGGCCCAGGCCCCATAGCTATAGCCGTAGAAGCAGCTGCCTAGCACGCGGATCAGTATCGAGAGCCATTTGTATACTTTGCGACTGCTGGCCTGCAATTTTGAGGTGTCGTCGTGCAGCCCGATCCGAAATGTGGCCACACCAAAGACGGTGGCATAGTAGAAACAGCCGCGAAGCAGACCCGCCGATATCCTCGGACCGTTTAGCCATGGAGAGACTCGCGGCATGACTGTGCTCCGGGCGGAGGACGAGCCGGTCATGCCATCACCCTATCTTTACATTAAGTAATTAGTTTCACTATTGATTCACTCCCACTCATCTATCCACTTATCCAATTCGAAGGCTCTTTTACTTTCACCTACTGTTGATGATGGCTTCGGAATATGCACAGTTGAATGGGATATTTAAGGGCGCTGAGAACTACGAGTAAGTGATAGTTTTTCGACACACAAACAGGCTCTTTCTAAGTACACAGAAAACTAGGATTGTATAACTGCCTGGTATATTGAAGGGACCAATTACGGTACCACTGTACCAGGTATAAGGTCGGGAATTGATCAGTTCACGGGCATGATTTGGAGGGCTTCTACCACAATGGGTATTGGGTATGTTAAAAATCCATCGAAAGATAGAGCTACCCATCACCCACACAGAAATGACATCACATTGTGGCGAAGTACAAGCCGAAAGGCAATTTCCTATTGCAATTCAGGGCAAATGTTCCCCGGGCCTAGGCATTGTATTTCAATCATTTTGTGACTGAAATTTTATATTCATTTCACGTCGTTTGGTAGGTTGGATCACCTTGTAAACGAGTTTAAAGTTAAGTATTCAATATTACGAAAGAGTCATAGGATAATAAATGTGGTCTACAATCCGTTCTGTTTAGAAGCAGTGCTATTTGAATCAATATTTATTGGTATACAAGTCGAATTTATTTGATACTAGGTGGCAAGCCAGCTCGTGCATCAACCCCCGGCTCACTCGCTTCTTTCATTTGCCCTTCAAGTGTAGCCACACTATAATCGATGGGTTTGTATTCCATACTGCATCACATAGGTAAAATAGGTGATCATGCTAGACAAAAATACCAAAATGATCTCGTTGGAGACCTCAAACAAGCCCAATGGACACACACGAAACTCGTTGAAGTTCAGGCGACTCAAGAACATCTCCAACTGGAAACAAAATAAAGAACTGATTGGAACACAGTATTTTCCATTGAAGAATACCATACCTTTACATGCCATTCCTTCTGATCGCTGACTGGAAAATTCTCCAGACTCAATCTACGAATAACTTTGGAGCTGCTGACCGCTTCGTGGACAGCCAGGGTTAAGAGTATCACATCAGCGAAACTCTTAAGCACCAAGCCCCAGATGCCAGCCTGGCAGGGATACCGGTCGACACGTATGATCACCTCGTAGGACAGCACCGTGGTGGCGAAGATCTTGGCCATGAGAATGATGAGTACTGGTAGCTGGAGCAGGATATGAAATGATCTGCCCACACGTTCGATCTCATCGTAGACGGCCACGCACTCCTCCAGCCGGCAACAGGCATTCCTCAGCTGACGACGACTGGCAGGAGCACCGCCTGGACGTTCCAGGGATCGCAGCTGACGTCGCAACTCAATGCGAACATAGCCATTGACCTCCGAGTAAAGGGCCGCCACGCTGAGGAAGCCCGCGAAACCGATGTGTATGATCATTAGGGAACCAATTTCGACGATGATGTCGCACAGAGCGATCAACGTTACCACTAAACTGGAAGCAAACAGTATTTGATGAAGTTCGCAGAAGAGCTCGTAAATGAGGCAGATCGCCTTGAAGAGGAGTAAGACAAACTCCCGCTTGCCACCGAAGCCGTTCTTCCTTCTCGTCGACATTTGACGCACTCGTCGAAACACCCTGAGGAAGCTGTTGATCATGCGGAGTACCTCGTGTTCTTGGAATATCTGCAGCACCAGGATGCAAGCGGTGCAGACGAGACAGGACACCAGTCGCATGCACTGCAGTGTCCGCTCATTGGGATCCTCGATTGCCATTACGAATGGGGCACAGAAGCAGCAAACCACGGCAAAGCAGACGAGCCGTAGGATAAGCGAATACCACTTGAGCCTGAAGTTCTTCCGTCCCACCAAGGCATCCTTAGGTCCTTTCTTCGAGACCTCAAAGCAGATTACGCCCAAGACTCTGGCGTAGTGGTAACTAAAGCGTAGGATATACGCGGAGAGCCCCGAAAGACGCACCTCTCGAAGGCGCTCGAACATCATTACGACTGGTTCACATTGGGCTTCAGATTATGTAATTTATTTAGGGTATACTTAACTAATAACGATTTAGTTGGAATAATATTTTGATAAACAGTATAAGCAAACAATTGGACTGGAATCCATTTACTGATTGCAGAACTATCACTATTCCGCTTCCCCCGTCGACTGCATTCTATATTGGACGACATATATCACAAAGGTGACTAGAGCGGAAAGGACTATCAAGACCAGCTCGTTGGAGACATCGAAAAGACCCAGAACACGGACGCGAAATTCATATAGACTCAAATGGGTGACGAACATATCAAACTGAAAGATGAAGTCAATGATTATAATGAGTGTATAATGGATATCGATACACTTACTGTCGTGTGCCAATCTTTATGGTCGCTGATATAGCAGTTCTCCAGACTGAGTCGCCGAATGACCCTAAACTGAGTCATTGCTCCTTCAACGGCCATAGTTACGAGAAAAAAGTCAAGAATCACTTTAGTCGTCAGAATACTTAGCTGAATTTTATGCTTATCGAACCATCCAACGATAGTCAAACGGTAAATGACCACACCAAGTAATGTATAATTATGAACGATGCTCAAGAAGAACGGAAAATCGGTTAGCTTCTGAAACGTAGTGGCCAGGGCATAAATCTCTCTATATAGGGCCAAGCACTCATTCAGTTTCCGGCGGACAGTCCGCAAGTGCTGGCGTCGTGGCTGAAGTCCGTGCGGCCGTTCCAGGTCCTGTAGTTCGGATCGTAGCTGGAAACGGACAAAATCGTTCAGCTCTGAATAGAGAATACCTATGCTGAGGTAGCACACAAAGCTCATTTGCATCATCATGTTGATGCCGAAGACGATGAAAGTGTCGCACCACCAGCTCAGGAATCTTTCCATACTGAAATGTTGTCTATCTGACTCTAAAATGTACACTAGTTCATGGATTCGACAGATCAAAGAAAGGCTTAACAGCACCAGCTCTCGCCTTCCTCCATAGCCAAAAGTCTTTCGTCTGGGTAGAGCTCGAACTCGACGGAAGAGGCGAAAAAAAGTGTTCATCAATTGTTTCGAGTCTGCTTTGTGTAAAAGCTGCAGTCGAAGAATGCAAACGCAGACTAGAGTAGCCGTTATTATGCGTATAAAATGAACCAATCTTTCAAAAAAAATCTCTAATCGAAGGATCCATGGTAAGTAGAAATATGCTAAAATTCCAATAGCCAAAATCCGATAGATGGCATAGAACCGCATCAACCAAGGACGAGGCAGAGCTCTTAGTTCCATCAACATCTGGCCATTTTCGCTTATCCAATGTCTCTGCAGTTTAAAGCTGAAGATTCCCATGAATATGGCGTGGTAATACATCACGAGAAGGATGCCCGCGGACAGTTTGGATGCGTTCATTTTACGAAGGACCCCGAACATGACTGGATTGGTGTCGATTTGAAATTTGAAATGGTTTGAAAAGGGCATTTGCGTCAAAAAGTTGTCAGTCGATGTGCATTTTACTAATGAAAATGTAACCAATAAGCCGATAAGACCTCTGTTGACAGGAGCTTACCCCAGAGATTGAAAATGTTGTAGGACAGGAGATCACAGATTGTCACTATGGGGTATTCTACGCCACTTCAGGGATGCGCTACACATACCTGTTTGGATTTGAGTCCATGACAATAGGGGCATTTTTTTTCCATAGCACCAATCAGCACTTTTGGATGAGCGGAATATTCAATATGTGGCTCGTTCTCGAATGCGAGACGAAGAATTGTTAACGTTGTCCGCAATTTTTTCTATGAATGCCAATGTATAGCCCTTAGTGAGCCGTTCAACCACAAACAGCATAACTTGAGACTTTTATATCTATTAAAAAAATGATTTAAGCTTGTCACTCCTTTACGGAGTAATTTGGTTTATAATACGAGTAAGTGTGTCAAATAAAAAACGAAAGAGTAGTAAAATGTATGATATAATATGGTCCATGGTTTGATTCTCTTCCTAGGTCAGCCAATTAGTTGTCCATTAGGGTGATAATCATGCTCTCGCAGCGTTTCTAAATCTTAAAAATCTTGTGTGTATTGTTGAAGATGAGATCTCGACATCTCAATAATGGGATCGGTTGTTTTCATTTTAAGATCACGTTGCCCTCCGGTCTATATGCTCCCCGGACTCACTCCCTCACACACAGTTCGTATAACTGGCCCCTGCTTTTGATTCACACGCTCACGATCCTGGCTGAGCTGAGGAGCTGAGGCTCTAAGCTCGCTCGCTCTCTCCGGCTGGCACTCCCCCTCTCGTTCAGGCAATGTAAATGACGCCCCCACTTTGTGCTGTACGTGATCTTCTTATACAGTATCTTTTGTGCTACATCTTCTCTGGATAGCCTATCCGGGCTCTGCGGGGCCGAGGCATGTGCACGATTACAGCGCGCAGCGATTTGCGTCCGTCGACATCTCTGGGAGATCTTTCAAGTCTGTCAAGCAGGGTCCACACACACACCCAGTCTCTCGTCTCTTTGTCTGACATTTGAAAAGAATTTTCACGTTGTATGAGTTATTTTTTTTCCACTTCTTCTTGTTGTAGGCAATTACAGTAACAACAAGAAGAGAAACAACTACAACAGCTCTCGAGCACGTACATTTTCCGGCATTGTACGAAAATTGTGGGAACAATCAACGAAATAAACAAAAGTGCTTTGCATGCCGTTGATTTGTGCTGCAAATTGCTTTAGACTGAAATTACGGCAACAAGATGGAAAAAAAAAAACAAAACCCCAGCTTGGCATTGGCAGGGCCGCATCTTCGAATACACTTTTCAGAGCGGCAGTATTGGTATTGGTATTCAATAACATATTGGATCTTATAACGCTTCAGAAGTTCAACTTTTCCAGACTTTTCTGATTAAAAATCGGCTCACGATCGATCGTTCTGGCAACTATTTGACAGATTGTATGTTTGAAGTCTGATACGCACTTCAAGGGTATTCCATATGCCCATATAGGGACTCCAGAGCCAGAGCAGCAACAAATGAGCCGGGTCGAGCCAAGGAAAGCCACAACTTGGTCAGCAGATTAGAGCACTGGTCTGTTGGAGGGATCCCCGGTGCCAGTCCCTGCTTGACCTCACGTTGGGCAGGGGCCAAGCAAGCCAGACACGCAGCCTCAGCGCAGTGGCAGCTGTGCGAGGGGATTGGAGAGGGGGGTTGTAAGTAACTTCAGGGTTGATTGATTTCAATTGCAGCTAGAACAGTGCTCGTCGTCTCAGATGGCCTTGGCTCGCTTTTCACGCTTTTCCAGGCATTGCACTTAGGCCGGCCCAGTCGGGCCTACCGTCCTACCCCTCCGCACATCTGACATTAATGGTGATTAATGGAAAGATTGAATGTAATTAAATTTGTTTTTTTTTTGTTTGTTCCTTTTTTCTGGGCTATAAATTATTTGCGATTTCAGAAACGCCGTTTGGTTCATTGCTAAAGTACACACAGCAAAAAGAACGGCAACAAAAATGTGAAAGCAAAGAGAAATAGCGAAACGACAACAGCAACGACGGCAGGCTGGCTTCGCAGTACCGTTACAGCAAGAGCAACAACCAGAGAAGGCAGGCCGGGGAAAAGCAACAACAGCAACAAATCAGCGAGGCCAGCGTCATAAAATTTTGCCTTTTGCAGCTTTGAATTTATTGCGAGGCGAATGCAGGCAGCAGCGCAGTCGAAAATGCGGCCAACGCAGAGTACAAACACCTCTACTCGCCTCTGTTTCTCTCTGCTGTGTGTTAGTATGAGGTGAGGTGCTTCTCTTTGTATTTCCATCATCACACACCCTCAGAAAAAAAGAAGAGAATGTGTAATTCGAGGATCTAAAATGCTTCACCTTTCATAAATATACCCTGCCTGAGTTCCTAAGTTTCGTGTGCGTGTGTGTGTGTGACTGCATTTCGATTGTAGCCATTAAAATCTTGAAATTGCATGCTAATAACCGTACACTGGCCCGCTAGTTAAGTGGGCAAATATGTTGTACATGCTCGTTACTAAATGCAAGCATGTAATTTGCCTCCTTTCGCAATGCCATTATTACATATTGCATTCTTGATTCGCCCGGCCGCCTCTAAGCAGGAGAGAGGGAGGTATACATACAGATATATGCACATATATGTATGAAAGCTTAGCTTCGTTGCAAAGCTTTGATACCGTTTTATAAGCTCTACAGTTGATATAAAATTTGGTTTTTTTGCTTTAAATATCTTTAGTAACATAAATACTTCTATCAATCGGAAATGCTTCCTTATCGGCGTTGCAAACATCTGCTGAAAATCATAATAGCCTCTGCAGGGTATTGTACTTTTCTATGTGTATTTGTTGTGGGACAAAACAGAGCTAAGGCATTGCCAGACAGCAGCAATGGCATAGTCGTAGGCGGCACAAGGGGCCGGGGGCCGGGGGCCAGCATCAATCATCATCAAGCCAGGGCATAGTTTGGATCTAAGGCCCCCACTCTGCCGGAAGTCGCAGCCAATCTAATGTTAAGTGCCCACTCCACTCCACTGGGCTACGCGTAACAGAAAAATTACGACTAGAAAGCATTTTCCCTATTTTTTAGTGTTTGAACACAGTGGAGCCTCCTCATGGGTGTGGATAGTGATTGATGAACGAGAAAATAAAGATGGTTCGACATCCTCTGCTCTCCAACTAATGGATTCGACCCTAATTAATACAGTGGAATCTCTCAGGGCAGACAGATCCCCTAATATCTCTATTGGGCGGATGGAAGTTGTGAGTGTAAGCTGTTGTTGCCAGAACGGTCTTCACTGTACGTGCCATCCGTAGCCCGAGGTTGCAGATGGGTCATCGTCAGCTAGCTACCAGAAAAAGGTTGTTACCTCCTACTAGATGATGGTTCACTGTGCATTGCAATGTAGCCCGAGGCCCCATCTGCGTCTAGTTGATATAGATTTATTTGTACCCCTGATAGGTATTATATAGGCGTATATTTCAATCGTTCACAGATTGCTTGTTTCCTCCTAGACGAGGGTTCACTGTCCGTTGCATCCGTAGCCCGTGGCTGGCTCCGCTGAGTCATTCTCTTTCTCCTTCCTTTTCTACACTCGAGTGCTCCGAATTTTCTTTACGCTTTGGAAACAGCGGAAAAGGGCCCCAGCCCCGACCAAAACCATTTCGTAGGCAAATAAAAAGCTTTTAAGATCTTTTTTTTTTGTTTTACATTTGTATTTTCAAAGTTTTTTTTAAGTTTTTTTTTGTTGTTTTTGTTTTTTGCTCTTTACAGTATTTTTTTGTTTGCGTAAGTTTGACAAAATTTGTTAGTTTCGTTGGAGGAAATATACACAATGTTTTTGTTGTTTTTGTTTTTTTGTTAGCTGCTTGGGAGCGTAAGTCCCATACAATATACACAGGTTGGTTGTTCAAAAATAAAATATTTGGGAGAGTCGAAAGCTAAGAGAAATAATTTTGACGAAATAATATACATATATAATCGTACATGGATGATTGAACGTACAGATAAAAAGACATAGACACGATCAGGGTGCGTGTGTGTATGAGCTTAAAGAGGGATTTGTTTAAATAATTTCTGTTATAATTACATTTTAATTATTGAGATCATGACACAAAGTACATTTCGAATACTTTTGGCACACGCGTGCATCAAAAACCGAAACACGCTGAGAACGCTTGAATTTTTGGGAAGTGGGGGGTGGGGGGTGTGGGTTTTGGGGGTTTGGGTGTTATCTAATATCTAGTGGATGCATAGCAAGAGACCATCATTGTTATCTGCAAGATCGTACAGATGCAATTTCCTAATTACAATTTAATCTATCATAAAAGTGCGCTGATACCAATTGAAGTCTTTCGTTTTGCTATCATTTACGTATGCTAATGCACAGATATCTCTCTCTCTCTCTACATAAATATAAATAAATACATCTACATAATATATATCTTCATAATTTCAATAGTTATATCTATCGCTATGCATCCGGGTTTTTTTCGCGCACGTTTCGGCTATGCACGCGCGTTGATCTTTTCGTGTTGTTTTTCGCTTTTCGTCTGCTTTTTAGCGCTCTTCGACTTGGCGCTTTTTGTTGGACAACATTTGGGACCGTCAAGTCTTTGTTTAAACAATTATATACATAAAAGCTTTATGCATACGTAAATAAAAAAAAAAAAACAAATCACTTTCAAAACATTAAAATTACGTTCACAATAAATATAATGTATTGCAATGGTTGTTGCGGCTGCACCTGCGGCTGCACGACTCCTACTCGTCCTTCTTATTCACGATCTTTCCGATTTCGCTATTACCACTATCCAGAACCCTAGCGGTACAGTTAGTGTTGTTGTTGTTATTGTTGTTCTTCTTGTTGTTGTTATTGTTGTTGCTGCATTTTGGCACATTCGAAATGGTTTTGGGGGCCTTGCGCTCGCGGTAAAAGCCTGAAACGATAATGGGGGGAAAAAGGAAAAGTGGCAATTAGTCACAGTGCAGGAACTCGTATAAATAGCTGTACAAAAACGAACACAAAGTACATACAACACTTGAGAAAGCAATAGTTGATATTCCAACGAAATGATACCCGCTAATTTATTTGCCACAAAATCGAAAGTTGGTAGGAAACATGCATAAATCTTTGGAATTACGCCGAACAAACAAAAAAATATACTCTCCACGAATGTAGGGTGTACAAATAGAAAAAAAAAAAATGCAACACAAGTTTCAGCGTCATTTTTGACCTTCAGAAGGCAAAAGGGAAAGCAATGCGAAACTGCAGCTGCGACTACTTGGAGCATGGAGGGAGCTTTCTTATCGCATTTGAGAGTGAGTGGGCTCTCTCTCCCTCTACCTGGTCATTGGCTAGACGATAAATGTCATGGGCAGTCGTCGCCATTGCCATTGCCACGACATCAAAAGGCAATCGCAAAAATGCAATGATGTGACAGAGAGAAAAATGGAAAAATGGGCAAGAGAGAAAGGACCGTGAATGAAGGCAGAGTGTGGGTGAGTGGGAGAGCACAGTGAATGATTTTGCGTTTAATGAAAGAACAAGGAGAGCAGGCAATAAATGGTTGTGTAGTCATTGAGCTTAAGCAGCAACGCATGCCAAATGCGTTCTAAATGGCACATCAACCTTGATGGTGTTGGCGCTTTTTATATACATACATACAGATGTACAGATGTACACTCATAGTCTCAATCGGACAAGCCGCAGCTGCGGTTGCTTCATCACGTAAACCGCTCTAAAGCTTAGACACTAGACTAGGGGCTAGGGGCTACGGGCAGGGCAGGGCAGGCCATAGGCAAACACCAGCCACTCACTCACTGCGCAGTGACCTAAAAGCGACCAGAAACAGAAACAGCAACGGAACGCAGCCGCAGATGACGACGAAAACAGCGCTTGCGGCGTTTTAATCAAATTTACAGTTAGAGAAAATTATAAGCCATGCCAACGACAACGACAAAGAACTTGATGCGAAACGAGGCAATGAAGAAGAGTGGGGGAGAGAAAGATCGTAGTCGCCAACGTTGTCGGCGATTCTGTTAATGTAAAGGAGCTAGTGGTTAGACACAGACCGCTCTGTAATAAGCGGGTGGGGGGAGGGGAGGGCGGAGCGCATTTGTAATTTACCGTTATTACTATGACCACGGAGCCTCCCAAGCACGCACACAGGCTTAACATTATGATTTCTACACACACGAGAACACACACAAGCAAAGCGAACCACAAAAGATATGAGAAATCTGTGAAGAGAGGCGCAACAACAAAACGCGTTTTGTTTACGAAATGTGTGGGGAGAGACAGACCGATGAAAACAGGAACGGCAACAAAATAATATACTCATAAATATTTATATGGGAAGAAGCGAGTTTCAGCATACATAATTTGTATACATACATTCATACATACATACATATGTGCATAAGTATGCGTGTGTGTAAGCTTTCGAAGAATCACGGGCCTTATTGGGGGCGGGGCGTGGTAAAAATCCCAAGCAAAACAAAAAGCACAAAACAAAGCGCTTCTAACTGTGAAGTACAGTGGTGGCCAAAACATGGCAAAACAAGCTGTGTGCGAGAGCAAAAGAAAAAGAGCTTGAGAGCGCAATGGAGATAACAGAACTTGTCTAATTGTATGAGACTCGACTCTTCTCTGGACCTGCCACAAATTCTGACTACTGAACGCTGCTGTACTTACGCGATCAGAGCGAGATGGAGCTCGTGACCTTCACGACGAGTTTTGAAAAACAACATCCACAACATGCGTGCGTTCGTAGTACTACGCATAAACACACAGACACGCGAACGCACACACACTCAACTCGCTTATCAGCAGAGAACCACCACTAAAAATAAACATGAAAATACAAATTCGCGCCAAAACGCAAAAAACACCAACAGCAGGCTCCATTGGCTCCTCGTGCGCCCAGAAAAACAAAACACGAAGTGGAGGCCAGCTTTGGGAGCCGAGGTCTTTGATACTCTTGCACATCCATTGTTCGTATGGAAACGCCGTATATCATAAAAACTTCAATTCTGAAAATATTTACATAGCAGAGCTCTAAAGGTTTCTTTTGCTGTTTAGCTTAAGCCTGAGTTTGGTTCTCTGAGAAATACTTGTTTATATACCGATTCATATGGAAACAGAGAATACGCCTATATGGGCTCCACGTCATAAAAGTCAGATGTCAGGAATGTCACGTTTTTAGTTACAAACCTCTAGTCGATTTAAAAATACCCTCTACAAGGGTAGAGGAAACACCTCCTCTCTCTCTCTCACAAAACGAATTAGAGGTACAAAGAGGAGCAAAGAAAATAAGAGCGCGAGCAGCCTGTTTGTCTATACGCGCGCGCGTGTCTGTGTGTGTGAGGGCTGACGTCGTATAAGAGTGACGCCGCTGTGGGTTGAGATTGCGTTTGTCGTTGTGGGTGCGGCCGCTGTACACAAAAAAACCAACAACAACAACTACAACACTACCACAACTTATGTACAGTCGCCCGCTCTTGGCAGGCGTGTGCCAAGTAGTTGTTGTATTTGTAATTTTTTTTCCATCCAATTCATGCACACATATGCACTTGCACAAGAGCAGCAGCAATAAGGCGTTGGCGCTGATTTTAATTTAATTGAGGCCTCTCAATTAATTGCTCTGCAGCAGTAGCAGCTGCACTCCCTGACGCAATCACCGTTGTCGCTGTCCGAAGATTATGGGATGCAGAATATAGAAAAGAATCTTTTTGGCGCGCAGAACGAAACGGGATTGTTATTCAACAGTTTTTCCCCCATACGTACAGTCTGCGTGTTTGTTTTTTTCGACAAGACAAACTGGCGGCAGATAGCAAATCGGGTGCTTTTTTCCAGTTTTCTTTTGTCTGAAACTCACGTTGTTTCGCTGCGACCTTCACCAACAGAATTGATAACAGGCCAAAGCCCGACCGAAAGAAAAAGCAAAAGAAAAATCAAAATCAAATTTGTATTTTTGCGTGGTTGTCCATCAAAATGACTATAGCGAAATGAACGCGAAAGGAACCCAAGATGGGGAATAGAGGAAGCGGCAGGGGTAGAAAGAACCCTTCAGCAAACCTCATATAACACTGCAGTGTGTATACAGTTGGGGTAAACACTCATACTAATTAGTAGGATTTTAATACAGACAAGGCTCGGATATAAAAACTTCCAGAAATTAGAAATGTGCAGAACTGCTAATCAAACAATCCGAAAGTATCTGTACAGACTCAAGTGTTTCAGTTTCCCGATTAGAAACGGCCCCGAAACGAACGGATTTTACTTTTTCAGAGGACAATGCATCGAGTTACAGTTCCTCAGGATGTGCACCTGAACCAGGGAGAGTGAAAGAGTAACAATAAGAAAGAAAAAAAAATGGAACGAAAGGGAAGCAAAAGAGGAGATTGACAAAATCTCAAACAAGGGTGGTTTCTCACACAGATTGGGGGTTGGTTGACTGGCGGGCAAAGGGAGGGAAAAAATAGAATATAAGAAGGAACCGTAACGTAACGAAAAGGGAAACGAAAATCAGGTGCTGCCAGTTGGTGGAACTCATACGAAATATCCTACGAATCTCACCTTTAATCCCTTGAGGAAGACGTCCGTACGGCTTCTGCCCGCATGATCTAATCATCAGGTCCTTGCGTTCAGCGCAGTTGGTGATCACCTTGGCGGTGGTTGCAATCTGGCTAGGCGTCAGTGCCACCCCCGCTGGAGAGGGCTCAAAGGGCATCGTCTGACACTTGGAAGGGAGCCTGTAAAGACGGTTCAGCTGCTCGAGCTCCTCCTCGGCCAGAATATCCACGCCATATCTGGCCCGGACGCGGCACAGGCCTTTTTCCGTTACGTTGGCCAGGCTCTTATTAATGCTGGCGCTAACCTCGTCCCGATCGGTTCCGAACAGATTGCAGCGGGCGCGATTGGCCACGGCCACTGGGGTGGGACGGCGTGGCTCCAGCGTCAGGCTCGACCAAAGTGGGGGCACCTGAATGGGCGCCATCGTACACTTTGCTATATTCTTCCTTCTTTCACTTGAGTTGATTCCACTTTTTCTCTTGCTTGCTTTGCAGTACTTTCTGTATCGCTTTCTGCTTTCACTTGAACTTTTCTTTGTACTATTTTTGTTGGACTTTTCTCCTCTGGCACATTACAAACACAGCGCGAAAATCAACTCGCAGAGAAGTCACGTACCGTACCGCGCATTGCTTTAATTGGTTTTCTATTGGCACATTTCTTGTAGATTTTAATGATTTTTTTAGCTAATATATTTTTAGCTAATATATTCTTTATCGATGGAGCTTTCTGAATTCTATGTAAAATTCGACACTTTTTTCTGGTTTCATTGCTACGATCAGATCAGATGCCTTGGTGAGTGTACTTTCGCGTATGCCAACAATTGTTCATCATGTAAACTCTGTGTTGTGGGCCGCGGAGTGTTGTTGTGTCGAGCGCGGCGGTCGAATTTTGATTGTTGTTTCTTCTGCGGCCTCAACAACAACATAGCCTCTCGTGTATTAACCCACTCAAGCCCCCCTATTTAAACAGTTCAACTTGTGGTAAATGGCGGAAAATATTACTGATTGAAAAACTCTTGTAGATCAATGCCACGATATCTTTCAGCGGGACTGTGCTAAAATTATTATATTTTCATTATTTTAGCTGGAATATGAAATGCCCCCTTGGCTTATAATGGGTTAATCGTTCTCCGTCAAGGATGGGCAACCATATTGCTTAATTTTGATGTTCCGTCAAATATTATAAGCTAGATAAGACATTATGCCGTGCCCACATAATTTTATTCGATAAACGAATTAATTTTCTACTCGGCTGGCATATTTTTAGTACTTGTTTTAATTGGATTTTGTCTAAAAATGGTTTTAGCAAAAAAGGTCGAGGGCTACGTGACCGCCGAAGTACCGAGAAAATACGTTTAGGCGTACCGAAATATACCGTCTCATTTTTAAAATATACCGTAAATATACCGATGACTTAACCCACCTAAACCCCTCTATTTAAATAGGAAACAACTTACGTTGAACAGCGGAGGATAATACTGCTAATAATTAATGGTGTAGGTCCATCCTATCCCACATCTTTACTTAAAAAAAGACCACGACATTTTTCACAGCGGGTTAATCGTTCACTGTCCAAATGTTTAGCTATTATTAGCTAAATAGAGCCCTCTGCACTAAATTTATTGAGGAATCAATTTTTTACAAGATTGGCTAATTTTTTGCATGCCTTTCGGATTTTTTTTTATAAAATAAAGGTCAACAAAAAATGAAACGTACATATGGATAAGAAAATTCTCGCCCATGGACAGGTTCATCTATAAGCATGGAATTTGTATACCCCTCACTTTTGTTTCTTTTAATTGCAGCTTTGGATATATATGTACAAGCGTTTCACGGTATCTAAAGTACTGCACAAAGTCCAAACATGCCGATAAGTTTAGCAAACGAGAAATTGTTAATATAGTGTGATTTTATTAAATGACGTCATATTCCCATCAATAGTTTTATAAGTGAAGGAACGGCTTCACATACCTTATACTATGCCTATATGTAAATATTTGTCTGCTTGACCGCTGTTGTTGTACTAAGTTAATAGGTTTACATAGTTTTGGGCCCATATCCAAGGTCAGGCCGAGTGACATGCGACATTAAACGACCTAATTGGCCAGACGAGACGTGCCTAGAAGCAAAACAAAATGTAAAAGTAAAGCAAATACATATAAAAACAACAACAAAAAAATAAAAACACTTTCGCGCTCGCGGCGGTAGTTGGAGCGTAGCAACAACAGTTAGCACAAACGAAAGTGAAAAGAGTTGAAAACCACATGGCAGCGAAACGGGGAATGGTAATAGATCGATGTGGGATGAGCGTAGTTTCAATAACGCTGAATCATCAGTCGGGCAGAGGCCCAGCAGCTGGAATTTCGTGGCCTCTCTTCCTTTCGCTTTGACCAGGCCGATTAGTCATTTTCAAGTGTGGCCCAGACAAAGGATTGGGATTTATCATCATATTTTTCTTTTTGGCGCGATGTCCAAATCGGGAACTGAGGGAGTGTGGCAAGTACCTGCCCGACCGATGAACAAGGGTTCAGGGGTTGAGATTGAGGCACAGGTCGGACGGAGCATGCAAAAACCAACCCTCGCGCCAAAAAAGACGGAAAAAAGAACGCACACAAACTGAAAAGAATGTGTGAAAGTTGCGGGATCCTTCCCCCCGCCTGATCACGTCAACCCCCTGACGACTGATTACAGCCGCTGCGTCATTCCTCTTTTGAATGCAGAGTGTGCGAGGCTTCCGTGTGTGTATTTGTATCTGTTCTATGTACGTGCTGGGGTCCACAGATGACTACTTTTGGCTACTACGCCGAAAGGAAAGCAGCTTGTCAATGGAAAAACTCAAGCTGTTTTCGGTGGTACTACGCCGCTCAAAATTAGTGCATTGCCCACGTACTACGACGTCACGTAAGCAGCGGAAGACAACGGAACTCTCTCTCTCTCTCTCTCTCTTTCGAATGAATGAAACTGTCGCACGCGCTGGCCATAAGGTTAAATGCTGCTGTTAATGTTAATGGGAGAGCAAGCAAAGGAGTGGAAGAGTGCCCCTACTCTGTGGATTTTTTGTATGAAAGAGATTGTCGAGAAAATCTAAGTTTATTTCTGGAATAATCATTATTCTACTCACACTCCAGAGCGAAAGAGTGCGGCGACTGAGAGGGGTGGTAGGTAGCTGCTGACGTCACGTGCCTCTAATTAATAAATGAGCTCATTAAAGAATTCGTTCTCTTATTTTCTCTCCTCTGCATCAGCTGGCTGGGTCTTTTTTTCCGCGCTCTGTGTTTGTGTGGGTGTGTGCAGTGTGCAATATGTGGATTCTGTTTGTGGCGGTTGCACTTCCCCCAGCTGTAAAATTTATCTAGGGTCGCCAGCTATATTTAGTGCGTGGGGTGGTGTGTTTGTGTCTGTGTTTCGCCCTCGTCTTTGACATGCATCATAAATTCTGCCTTACCCCCCCGCCCCCCCACTACACAGACACACAGATGCAACCTGCCCCCATGTCATCCGCCCCCCTGCTCTTTCTCTCTCTTTACCTTTGCTGCGGCTTTTTCTTATTTCATTTTTTGAGGCATCTGTAAATTTTGCGCCAATTTCTGCGGCTGCGGCTGCTGGTGCCGCTGTTGCCCTCATCATCATCTCAGACAGAGACAGAGGAAAACAGCAAGAGAGAGAGAGAGAGAGAGAGAGAGGGAGAGAGAGTCATTGTGAATACCTGCCTGCTAGTAATTTTGAGCAAAAATGTATTTTGCGCCAAAAACCAAAACCTGAATCTGACACAGCCCGGTGCACGATACCCGGTGCATGGTGCCAGGCAGGGTCCCGGTGCCTGGTGCCCGGTGGCACTCTCTTCCCGTTTCCGCACTTGAAATACATCCACACCACATCCTTTAGCCCCATAGCCCCTGTCTCATCCTCACATTGGGACATCTTGTTGAGCTGCTGCTCAAGCTGGAACAAGTGCTTTGCTTTTTTTTTGTTCTTTCCTTTCTTTCAGGTTTCATTTCTTGAGGAGCAGGAGGCAGAGACGGCTCACAGAGAATTCTCGTTTTTGAGCCGCCAAAAGTAACATCTGCTCCCCAAAAACCATAGACATGGTCCCAGGAATTGTCGTTGTTTCATTCCTTTTTGGCATTTGGTTTTTTGGCCTTGCCCTGCATTAAAACAGAGCCAAGGGAAAAGGGTTGAGGGCATTCGGATTGTGCTAGGGAGTTTGGATTGCCCTAAACCACAGAGTCACCAATCAATCGAAAGCCTTGGGGATAGGATTGCATATAACCGTTCTTGAGTGTTCTTAAGGAATGAGAAAATCACTGCTAATTGCTGGCATTGTTCCTTGATGGGGGTTTTGGAAGAGGCAAATAAATGGCATACTAGAATATATATTTTAAAGAAGTAATCTTTAATGACCTTTTATATACTGTTCCGAACTATTTTCGAAACGGATTATATCATTTAAATGACGATTCTTCAACAAAAGAATTTACGTCTCATCCACAGTCAACGCCTGTTGATAAGGTCTGGTATTACCCTTAAGGTCCTCTACAATCTATCGGGTTTTCAAGCGCATTTGAACTTCGACTTTTCCTATCTGAATTTGCCGTTTGCCCTTGGCCGGTTACCCTACCCCTGGCTGGGCCGCCGAGCGCTAATTTGCTTCATTTATCTTTCCTGCTTTCGAACAGAACCGAAACCCACTGTCTCTGCACATCAGCAAAACAATTACTCTACGGGACTCTAAGGGGCCTTAATTGCAGCAGCACTCTCGTTTTGGTTCTGGTTCTGGTTCTGTTTCTGTTTCTGGTTGGAAGTTTCTCTCTTATCTGGCCACATAAATCTCACGCGCCTCCGATTGCAGCGGAAAGTGTCCCGTTCTAAGCATTGGCTCTGTCCAGCGCATAGATAAGAGCCGGCACCGCAATTAGGCTTCGTCGTAATAGAGGAGCGTACGATATCTGAGGTCTCTCTCGGGGACTCTTTCTCCCCAAGGAGTCCAGTCCAGCAGCTGGCCGGTTTCGTGTGACCAACAACTAAAGATCTGTTGACCACTGTCCAAGCTCGTAATTTACAGTAGGAGAAGGTGAGTCTGAGGCTGATGGGAGGGTTGGGATGGGTTAGAGGATAGCGTTAACAAATCGCATGTGTGAATTATGTCCAAAGTGGGTCGCGGTCGCGGGCATAAATCAAATGAGCGGACTCCTCCAGTGGGTCACTTTGGCTATGCCTCGATGGCCATTGCATGCGGCACGCCAGTTGTAAGTTCTTCGATGCCCAAGACATGACACGACTCGACTTGACCCACTTGTATAAATCTTGCTGGGTGTGCTTCTCGGGCCGTTATTTTTCACACCCAAACCAAAACTGGTTGAGAATGCGAAAAAACAAGCGACAATTGTCGCTGCCACAAACGGAGGGGAGACTCCGCATGGAGTGGGTTTTGTAGTGGAGTCGCCGGGGCAGTCACTTGGAAAATGCCAAACAAAGGAGACCGACTGTGATACACCAGCATAATAATTGATCGCTGAGAGCTGCAGTGCTGAAGAGCGGCTTTCCAACTGGTTTTCCCACTCCACTGAATGGTTTTCCTTAATTTCCTACATTTTATCCAGTTTTTATTGCCCTCGTGTTGGACCGTTTTCCATTGTCTAAGATTTGTGCCTCTTTTCTTCTAGTTTCTCTTTGAATTTTTTTTTACCATTTCCCTCTCAGACAAAAGAGTTTCGTAAGCTGAAAGTTTTCCCCTATTTGAGGTTGCATTCGAATGAGTTATGGCCCGATCTTTTAGTGGTGGTGGTGGTGGCTTCATTTCTTATGCATTTCGGATCAGATCCCGACAAGCTCCGAGGGAAGCCGAATGAGGGTAGGGGAAATGTGAATGGAC